GAGTTGGGTTCTAGGAGTCTGGTAGAAAAATCACACCTACCTTCAGAACATATTTTGAGTCAGTTTGCGGAAGCACCAGGTGTTCGACAGGAATTGAGGCAAAATCGTGTGTGTAGTTGGGCATTTTATCGAATCCGTACTTTGACGCATATTTTGGTGACATTCTCATGACTGGAGCACATTCCCATTCACTTTGATAGAAATACAAAAAAAAATGTCGTAAAGCAGTAGCAAGTCCTTATGAATTTCGTAGAGGGAAGAGAATAAACTATGCATTTGGGCTGAGCTGTCGATATTCCAGGAACTAAATGAAGTCAAAGAGTCCAAGGTGGTGGCCTACGATGTCAGCATTGCTCATCGAAGTCGAGCCAAGTACCTAATGAATTTTATATCTAATGATGATTGTTTCACAAAGGTAAATCTTTCATCTGTTATGCATTATGTTACCGTCCATTCTCCTGGTATGCAGCCCTAGGCAGGCGTTTGATATAGTCTTGCGGAGCGTGTCAGGGGGCTGGGTTTAGCGCGGCGTCAACGCATTCTCCACCAATTGCTGAAGTGGGCATGCGAAGAGAATTGATGGGAATTGGGCTGGCGCCTGCCAACTCCGCCTCCTGACACGCCCCAGCATCCGCAGTGAACACTCTGTGTTGACTGTAGGCACTTTGCGAAAGTCTAACCCTACCCAGACTTGTGTCTAGATAGCTCTGGATGAAGCCGGTAATGTGGTCGGTATTGGTTGTATTCGTGTTGCCTACTCCAATGATCTCGATGTCGGTCCGTTTTATGCAGACAATCGGGTGAGTAGAAACTGTGAATGTTGTAGAAAATTATAGAATTTGAAGACGTATTTCGGTATTACTGGATGGGCGGGATCACTCCCTTGTACAAGTAGAACGTGCTCCTAGTAGGCCTATCTAACAAAGGGAGAAGTTCTCTCACTCATTTTTAATTCGTCGCGGTACGCGGCCTCTGTGAAGAAATGCCCGTGCTGATAACCTTGTAGGGGGGAGGGAACATTTGAAGGAGTCCTCTTGCAAAACTAGGATTATCTTGGTAAGGAAGGAACTAGTGTACTTGGGATTAGTCCGTCTATACAAGCGCCCTCTCCCTGAAATCCTGGGCGGGCAAATATCTCCCTCCTTTTGCGAAAATACCAGTTGTGCACAGAGAGTCCTTTGATGCTTCCTCCAATTATCAATTAACTTTTTCATTTAATTTTTTCATTATTTTTTCAAATTGGGTAACCAAAAAGCCTATACGAGTTCAAATGATGCCACCATTAAGGCTGTGGCAGAAACACTTCTGTGTGGAATACTGTCGTCAATCCCTGACATTAAGAAGCACAAAATATTAGGATCACTCTATCCAGCGATCAACACCGATGCTGCGAGGTCTGTTTCCCTCCACGAGTTTCCTGACGAAACCTGAAATGATCCTTTTCAGCGTTTTCACCGCTCTCGGCGGCGGTCACGCAAAAATCGCCCCCTTTACTCAATGCCAATTCACCAAGAAGATCTTCCCTTTCGCTGAAGACAAAGTATACGCAGTTATTGAGTGTGCAAATAGTGTGGTTTGAATTGATTCCAAGAATATCAGCTGATATTCGTTTGTTGACAGTATTTTATTGTGATAATA